TGAACAACCCTGTACAGAATGGGTGATAGTACACATCCCTGCCGAACTCCCTTCAATACGCTGAAGTTTTCCGATGTTCGATCACCATCAATACGGATCTCCGCCGACTGCTGCCAATACAGTTCTTTAATTATTCTTATGTCCTTGCCATCCACGCCTATGTCCTGTAGGCTCTCCATCAACTCAACAATCTATGTTTAGTCTATGATCCGGGTAAATAAGACATTTATTAGCCGTTTGGATCTTAACTGAAGAATCTAGAGTAAGAATAAATCGGGCTCTTGAACTGAAAACTGTTTTATTTTGCTCTACCGTAATATGTATTAAAATTTAGTTTAATTATAATTTTTAACTGCTATAAAGTGTTGCGTAAAGTTAGCATTAACTTGCTACAGTATTGTAACGTTTTTAGTTCGTTACATGTCTTTTTTATATATGATATATGATGTCTGGCTATCATTACCGGATTCCGTATCGTTCAGGCCTGACAACTTATTTGAAACGCTTGGCGTAGTTCTAACGTTCTCAAGTCGACAACTATGTTATCGTTTCACTGCTTCTGTGGAGGGCTGCAGGGCCAGTCAACTGAGATATACGACCTTGAACGATTTGTTTTTGGGGTAGTAATTTCCTGGGGCGCTAGATGGCGTATTTTTATTTTAATTTTTCCAGTTGCCTAACAATTGCGTACAAAATTGTTTTTATAGTTGCCTAAATAGGCCTATTAATTATGTTCTGTCATTGTTCTGTATGTCAAATCAGTTTTCCGTTTCCGGCTTCCTCCTTCCTCCTCAGTTGTGTTTTGCAATTGAACGGAGATGTGCGTTTCGCTGTTTTCTGGTTGTTTGGCTGTGTTTTTTTGCAATCTTCATTTTACAATCGTGATTTTGTATTTTTGAATTTTTTTGAACTTTGTTTTGTTTGATTTTTAAGATCTTTATTAAAGGTAAGGTTTAAGTTAAAGGTCTTTGATTTATCTAACAATTTTATTTAATAATCCGAGAAAGTGAGGTGAGGTAACCTAACCAAGTCCAAATATTCGTGAATTTTATTTTTTAACAATGTAATATTTACAACGCCATATATTTTTGTACATAAACTCCACAATGTGATATTACACAATTGTTCAAGTCCATATGTAAAAAATACACGTAAATAAAACATTGTTTCTAATGGACGTCACTTTCTCTTGTATTCCAACGATATTTGTTATGTGTTCTTAAATCTGGTACTATAATAAATATTATACTTTTAAATCTGTTAAAGTTATACTTTTAATCTGTGTAGGTTTATTGTGTTTATTACACCTTGTTAGGTTTTAAATACGAGTTTCGTATTTTTAGGGTCCAAGGTACGGACATTATCCTTTCATGGTGTCCTGGTGTCCTGGTGTCCAGGCTCATAGTGTCCTCATTCTGGCCTCTTTTGTTGTATTGGCCAACAGTAAAGCCGAGAGAGAGTTCAGAGATACAAGTCCACCTCACGCTGTACTGTTTGCAACAGGATTGCCTCAAGAACGAACAGCTAAGTTTAGATTTAAGTTCTGGATTTTATGTTTTACATCTCAGTCTTGAATAACATCTTACAGACTTTACGCTTAGTGATTAAATTACTTATGTCAGATTAGTATTTGAAATACGATTTAGATTATAGTTTCATTACGAACATATCTTGTAATGGTATTACTTTCTATGTATATTATTATTGCGTGATTTTGGCAGATGAATAACCAAACAGATTCTAGAATCTACGATTTGCAACATCTCAGATTTAACATTGTATAAAAGATAACAGATTAAATAAAGTAATGCTACCTTTTTTTTATTTCCAATAGCTTTGTCTATATTATATTTTTCCATAGTCTTTTTCATTCAACATATTAATTTAATATTATTTTTAACACAACTTTCCTCGACATATAACAACTATAATGATTAGAATTTTACAATGTTATTTACCATCAGAATCCATCGTTAATAAATATAGTCATTAATTTTAAGTAATATACAACTGTGTTTTCTTTCTCTGTACATACTTGGCGCCCAATATCTATATTTTTTGTTTATTGTTGTTAATTAGTTTTCTTTCCAGTAAAATACCTTATCCACGACTGCTCTACCGATGAGAAGCTGCCGTTCGCAGTGGTAATGTTTAAAAAACATTATAGTATGTTAAAATATAATGGCCTGTCCTACACAAAAATGCTCTTCAAATATATTAGAAATTCTTAAATACATAATCAATTGATTGAATGAGTAATAAATCAATTGAATTACTTTTTCAAGCAAAAGTATCGCTTAAGGCTTGCGGTAGACTGGATTTGTGCGCAAAAGTTGACAAACTTCACAAAAGTCACCGAATATGTGGCGCTCATTTCAGTACGCGAATGTTTCTGAAGGGCAAAAGGAAACTTTAAAGGAAGGGAATCGTTAACCGCGCATACTCCTCGAAAAGTAAAAATGAAAAAATCAATTAAACATTTGACTGTAGAGACATTTAAAATTAAAAAACATGCAACTAAAATAAACATGCCCGGAGTTACAAACAAGGATTAAAAACCCAATAAAATATATATCTGTTGAACAATATAAAGAGGCTAAGTACAAATTATGCCCATCAATGGACGTAGCAAAGTTTATTTATATTCAGATTTCACAAATTAACAATGCTACAGGAAGAAGATTCACCGTTGAAATTTAAATATAAATATCTGGCGATGTACTTTTCCGGACGGAAATTATATACAAGACGCTTTTGACAAATTCATTTTGCCTTCCATGTCTAGAGACACTAATAAAATTAATATATGACATTTATATCAAATCTGGAATAAAGAAAATAATTATAGAAAATCCTAGTGTATTTGAGACTCAACCTTACTCTAAAAAGAAAATATTTTATTATATTATTAATCGATATTGATGAGATGAGTACCAAGTGCAATTTACTTTAAAAACAAAGTAAATTAAGCCGCACGCTATTGATTCAAAGCTGCCGTAACTGTCGATGACAAAAACTACGACACTTGTTCTGGTTACTTTCTGTTGTTGGACACCCAAATGGCGGCGTGAGCAAAGATATGCGTGAAGCGTTCCGATTGTTTTATATGCCGTGAAAATACGATGACGGAGTAAGAGGAAGGGTAAAATTTCCCGCCCACTTCCCTTCTCGTCCTAATAGTCCCCACCAGTGACCAATGCACGAGCTAATCCTGTCAGTGTGATTTTTTATTTCGAGGAGGGATGTGGTAGTCAATGCTCCTAAATTACGTATTTTAAAATATTTTTTTCATGTGCATTTTTAGACTAAAAAAACTCTAAAGACTTTAAAAAGATAAACACGGATCTACAAATTAAAGTTTAAACTCAAAAAGACTCAACACAGAATACACAACAAAAACTAATTTTCCATCGACTGCAGAGTGGCCTATGTGATGAACTTAGTATACCGGGCAAAAAAGAAATTGTTGCAAAGGACACCGTTTTATTGTTTCTCATCTAATTTGAATCATAGGTTTAACATATAGGTAATCAAATCAAAACACACAATTGAATATCACTACTGGTTTAATCGAGAGTAAGTTCAAGAGAAAAATTAAAATATATACGTTTGTATTCTTATTTACATAGAGTTTAACATTTTCCTTTCAGTGCTATATCACATATTGGCAATATTTTTTTAAATGGCGGCATAGAGCAGTTTTATTCAAAATTCAATATGGCTGGATTTTTGATTTTTTTTATTACTCATAGTTTATTATAGAATTGCAAATAACTATACAAGGTGTTCCACTTAATATGGATACAAGCCAATATCTTGGTTGTTTGTTGAGCGATCTTTTTCATTTTTGGCAGGAGGCTGTATGGCTATAAGACGTACATTTTGCCTAGGGTAAGAAATGGGGTTTGATATTTTTCGAGTCAAAAGTAAACTACCCTTAGGACAGTATTTATTTCAAATCTGATAAATTATATTGAATCCTCCTTACCCAAGATACTTAAGTTCTAATTTTGATAAATATTGACACAGGGTGTGTTATTAAAATAAGACATTTTAATTTTTATTATTATTTTTTAAGTACTTACGACGTCACTGGATAAACAGCTGGTTTATTATCAATAACCGATTATCAATTAATAATCGATTTAAGTTTTCAGATAGCTTCCATAATAATTAAGATACGATACAAAAAAAACTAAATATTTTCAATTTATTTTGTTTACTTTAAAAAATTGTTTTTTAAGTCTGCTAATACAAATGAATAAAATGATTTACAAAATAATTTAAAAACCCAGTTTTTAATGGAATCTGAAATATGATTTTTATTCGTTTTATTGAGGAATATTTAAAAAAATCCAAATAGTTATTTAAAACAATCACTATTAACTTTGGAAAATATGCTCTAAACAAAGATTTATAAAACTATAACGAACTAAAAGTCATCATCTTCGACCCAAGTTAAATGGATTATTAATTGTTAATTGGATATAATCGGTTATTGATAACAAAAAAGTTGTTTATCCAGTGGCGTCGTAAGTACTTAAAAAAATAATAATATAAATAAAAATGTCTTATTTTAATAACATACCCTGTATCAATATTTATAAAAATTAGAACTTAAGTATCTTAATTGAGGAGAATTCAATATAATTTATCAGATTTGAAATAAATACTGCCCTAAGGGTAATTTACTCTTGATTCGAAAAATATCAAACCCCATTAAAACGTACGTCTATGAGGTATCGCATTTCTTACCCTGGGCAAAATGTACAGCCTCCTGCCAAAAATAAAAAAGATCGCTCAACAAACAACCAAGATATTGGCTTGTATCCATCTTAAGTGGGACACCCTGTATGTAAATTGGTACTCTGTAGCGAGCTTCAGCCGTTGAGTTTTGAAGAGAACGCCATTTCTATTTAGCGAAAATAGAACTGGTTACAGACGCTTATTAAATGCACAATCCAGAATAGCTTGTAGCTTTGTGCTTTCACAGCTCTTACCTTATTTTCAGTGATGCTGCAATACGCTGTAGAAACATGAACGAATACTTCAATATTTTTCATTTCCAATGATAACAAGGCCATGTCTCGTGCACTTCGTAGGTTTGTCAATATTGCATCCTTGATAAAATCATCAAATCTTACCGAAGCAGCTGCATGAAATATTACGTTAACTTTCTCTATTAAAATTTGCCTATCAGAACTGGATAAACCTGAGACCAAAATTACCTTCGTTGTTATATAACATTTTCTTAAAGTTATATGTAGTGTTACCTAAATTTGCCTCAGCAACATTGCCTCTAACAGGTATAACTTTATAGAATACGTCCGAATTACTATTTTTCAAATTGTCAAAAATCTAAAAACGCAAAAAAAAACTATAAATTCAAACCAGATTAAACATTGAAGAATATACTAAGGGCTGGCAAAGATTACGTGTGTCTTGGGTCGAGATTTCCGTATGTAAGAAGAGTACAATGCGTTTATAATGTACTGAACAAAGAGAGAACGCTAAACACGTTGCCAAATGTATGAAATAAATCGAGAAACTTTGCACATTGCTAAGAGACGTGGAAGGGGATATAGTAGATTTGTCGCTATATCGACAGCTTGTCGTATAGCAGCTTGAAAATGTTTAGTGCAAGCTAGAAACTCTTGCATTTTTCGTAAAAATAAGTAGAATTGAGTTGGTTTTCGACAGTGGTCAGGCTATTAGAACTCTGAATTCAAAAATCGATATCTCGAAATCTATTAGAAATAATTGATTGTAGTTTTTTCATAAACTTTTTTAATATTTCTGCTGCATTTTCTTCGTAGACAGTAAGTGAAAATCTGTATCAATAAAAAAATTATACGACTGCTGAAAATTGCTATGCTCTAAAAGTAAATAGATGTTTACAAGTTTTGAATGGAAAAAAACAACCTTATCGAATTTTTCTTATGTAAACATATTGTAAAAGTTCTTATCTTCAAAATAAAAAAAGTTTCAATATCAAAGTGTTTCTTGAGTTATGGCGTGTTATGTGTTAAAAAGTTGAGTTTTTAAATTATTATCGCGATTGACGTTTTCTCGTTATAAAAAAAATGACACCTAAAAGATATCCTTATAATTCCATTTCAGATGCTCAGAAACATTTCTAATGATTTTATCTAGTTATGTTGCAGGAAGCAGGTATAAGTGCGGCAATTTAAAATTTAAAGAAATTAAAATAATTAATCTTAATCTAAGAAATTACATAAAAGAAAATAATTTTATATAAAATATTAAGTTTCCTTAACAATCCCTATGCGATTTACTTCCATACATGTGAATACCGACCCAAGAGTAACAGTTGCCAGCACGGTATAACGCAGAGAACATAAAACACACGGTAAGTATAATAATACTTAAAGTTTTCATTTTGGATTCGAATTGTTATTATTTTCTTAGAAAACTCAAGATATCACAGAACACTAGAAGAACGCATAATATGAAGAGATAATAAAGTTGACCACAACCGGACACATCTGAACCAATAAATTTGATTAGACAAAAATGTTTTTGGAAAAAATAGATAGGTGTCGGTACTCAGTAGGACCTACAGTAGCCAGCAGTATCACACTGGTAATAAAGAATGTCCATGGATTCGTATCTATACGGACCTACCCAACTACCCAGCACTATTCATAATCCGGGAGGCATCGGCTTTTTTTTTTCAAGGAATTTCATTCCGGCCCAGTTTAATACAGTAGATTATACTCACATTCTAGATGACGAAACTGACCGTCATCGACAGTACGAGCGGTGGGTGCGAGCGTGGGAGACTGTCATATTCGTAAAAAATAGATTTCTGAAGTTATTTCATCCCGCGTGAAACTGTTTATATGTAATATTGATGTTAAATAGTAATAAAAAACGACCCCGGCCTTTCCCCCAACGAGCTGACGCATATTTTCACATTTCTATTTATTAAAAGTCGTGATGAAATTCCTTGAAAAAAAACCGTTGTCTCTCGGACTATCAATAACTCTTTAAAGCTTTAAATTTAGAGAAGAAAAAAATGACTAATAAAAACTTACCGGGTTAGAAAATAGTTTTTGGCATCTTTCTTCTAAATTCATCCCTTTTTTGGATCTCAGTAGTATATAAATATTTCCCACACCTGGACAACTACGTAATAGTTTCTCTATTAGGGCTTTTCCAATAAATCCTGTCCCTCCCGTTATAAAAATGTTTTTATCTATAAAATATTATTTTTATTGGTACAAGAAACTTCCCACGAAAATATATTAAAACCAGTATATTCAATTTTGACTTAATGCTAATCATTATTAACCATTAATATTTTTTTTATTTACATATCTTTTTGTAGTATTTCTCCTTCGTTCACCAATATAAAATATGTTTCCACAGCATTTTTTATGCAACTTTTGGTGTTAAATTTAAGCTTTCTTTATTATTTATAATATTATACTTCATTCAACAGCAAGCGCCAATTACAGAATGGGTCGTACTGTATAAATTACAAATTAAAATGAAGAAATTTATAGATCATAAAATGGTTAATTATACAATGGTTACTTGATATACAGGGTGTTTCAAAACAAATACGAAAAACTTCAGGGGTTGATTCCTTGTTCAAAATAAAGGGTAGTTTGCTTCATAAACGTTGGGTCAAAAGTCAACCATTAGGGAGATATCGCGGTACAAAGATGGCGGAAAAATAATGTTTTTATTTTTTATCTTTAAAACGAAAAGCGATAGAGTAATGAAATTTTATGGAAGCATTACTATTATGAAAACACACTTTTTGGTATTTTTTTCACTTTTTTAAAATGAGTGGAAGGGGTTGAAATAAACTACCTCTATCATTCTTGTTAACGAAATTTAAAGAAAAATCTTATCAAGCACATGCAAAAAATTAATTTGAATAGTTTCGTTTGTTTAGAAACTTTTTTATCTCTTGTGTTTTTTTGATAAAACTTAGCGATTTGAAATTAAAAAAATGAAATGGTAAAGCATTACATGTCAGGACAAAAACATTTTTAGATAAAGAATCTAGTGGGCTGCTGCCAAACAGTTTTATTTCGTAATAATATCGTTACATTTTCTTCTGAACGATAACCTCTTAAAAATTGTTTACCAAGACAATTTTTAATTCTGTATTTTAATTCATGAAAGTAATAATATCAAAATAATATCGTTAAAAAAATAATGTTTAAACATTGCAGCTCAAATAAAAACACAACGTCTTTTGCAGGAGCAATTAATTTTTTTGTGTTGAAAGTGTTGAAAATGTCCACCTTGTGATGTAATACATGCATTTATCCTACGCAACATTGAGCCCCTAATACGCTGAAATATGCCAGGATTATTTCTTATTATATCACATGATGCAATTATGCGATTTCGTAGGTCTTCGATATCCTGTACTGGTGTAGCGTAAACTAATTCTTTTAAATATCCCCAAATACAAAAATCCGAAGGATTCAAATCTGAAGATCGAGGCGGCCAGAAATGAGGCCCACCTCTTCCTATCCAGCGGTTTTCATAATTAAGATTTAAATACCTCCGTACATCTATGCTGAAATGTGCTGGACCACCATCATGCATTTCGTCTAATCTGCAGGGGTAAATGTTCTAGTAGAAGAGGCAATTCTTCTTGTAGGAAATAAAAATACGACTCACCAGTTAATCTTAAAGGTAGAAAATGGGGCCCAATTAAATGTTCATCGACAATTCCTATACAAACGTTAACGGAAAACTGCTATTGATGTCTAGATTCTATAACTGAATGAGGATTTTCTTCAGCCCATACATGCCTATTATGGAAGTTTTCAATTGCATCTCTTGAGAAACTAGCTTCGTCCGAAAAAAGAATTTTTGAACAAAAAAAGGGTTTTCCATATTCATTTGATGAAACCATTGGCAAATTGTCATTCTCGGCTCGAAATCTCTTGGTAAAAGAGCTTGAACTCTCTGTATATGGTAAGGATATAACTGCTGTTCTTTTAATATCTTCCATACAGTTGATGTACAAGTATTTAATTCCGCTGCAATTTTCCAGGTACTTGTCTCAGGTTGCGCTTCAATAATATTTAAGACAGCAACTTCTAATTCGGGTGTTTGAATTTGGCGGTGTCGGCCGGTATCCAAACTTCTTTTTTCGAAAGTTCCAGATTCATGCAGCCTTTGATGAAGCCTAGTGAACGTGCTGTGGTGGGGAGGTCTACGATTCGGATACATTTCTGTATAAAGACGACAAGCTTCCAAGGAATTTCCATTTGCACGCCCATACATAAAATGCATATCTGCCATTTCAGCATTAGTGAAATTAACCATTATTGTTTTACTGATTATCTAATACGGAATTAAAACTCCTTTTTTACGCAATTAAATAGATCATAAAAAGGGTGCGGAATAATTAACTGATCGTAAGATAATAACGTATTGCAGTAGAGTAATGTCAAATAAAATAATATTAGAAACCTCCTAAAAAGTGACAGCGGCCGACTAGATTTTTTCCTAAAAAAATTACAGCAGCCCCCTAGGTTCTTCATCTAAAAAGCTTTTTTTCCTGACATGTAATGCTTTACATTTTGTTTTTTAATTGTAAATCGGCGAGTTTTATCAAAAAAACACAAGAGATAAAAAAGTTTCTAAACAAACTAAGCTATCCAAATTATTTTTTTTGCATGTGTTTGGTTTGGTTTGGTTTCATAAGATTTTTCTTTAAATTTCGTTAACAAGAATGATAGGGGTAGTTTATTTCAACCCCTTCCACTCATTTTAAAAAAGTGAAAAAATTACCAAAAAGTGTGTTTTCATGATAGTAATGCTTCTATAAAATTTCATTAGTCTATCGCTTTTCGTTTTCAAGATAAAAAATAAAAACATTATTTTTCCGCCATCTTTGTACCGCGATATCTCCCTAATGGTTGACTTTTGACCCAACGTTTATTAAGCAAACTACCCTTTATTTTGAATAAGGAATCACCCCCTGAAGTTTTTCGCATTTGTTTTGAAACACCCTGTATGTACAGTAGGGTGAATCGAAAAATCAAAGTTTTGAAAATCGTTTGGAATACTGCGCAAAAGTTGCCAATTGGTATTAGAAAACTAATATCTATTTAAAGTTTTTCAATTTTTTTTTCATCTTCTGCCCTCTACCGGGCTTTAAAAAAAGTAAAAAATACAAAAATATAAAATTTTGATTTTTAGCCGAAATTTCAGGTAATAAGTAACTGTTCTAATTAGAAATAATATATCTTATTGAAAAAAGACATTTTAGCTCCCCAACTCAGTGTACCCTATATACAAAGTTAAACAATTTTTTTATAAATACCCAAATATTTACACACTTTAACAAAGAATTAAAAATGTGTCGAGCAGACCACTTAAAGCCGTTTTTCGCTTGTTTGACAATATTTTATGTATTCAGTATTGTTAAACAATCCAGAACTCACCAAGGGGAAATAATTGTTCAGCGAATTCAATCCCACCCTCCCTCATGATTTATTATTGTTCACTTATTGATTGTAGTCTTTTTTTACTCAAATTGTGGCATAAGATTGGGCGAATCTATTTTGGTCTTTATAAAACTGTCTCTCTTTTGTACGCCTACAACTGATAAATATGCTTCGGTTACAAGTTTTATGCATCTCTCTACTGATTGAGTGTGACAGGGAAATGCAGCGATGTCGATGATTGTTTCAGAAGAACTAACAATCATATTTTTCAAATCATCTACTTCCAAAGTTTGGAACAATGGGGGACAGGTTATTTCATTTTTTGCCAATCAATTAGATCAACATATAAGAGGTCGGATATTTCGTGAACGATTGTCTTGAGTTTTTGCATTTAGAATGCGGCGAAGTGCAAACTCTCTAAAAATATGGGGGCGAGTGTCATGTAGCATACATATCAGAAGATTTACGGGATGGACAAAATAGGCATTTCTTTGTATTACAGGGTCTATAACACTTTTTAAATCTTGCTCTAGGTATCGGCTACGTTTTATTGTTTGTAAAACATGTTTGGCACCATATACACATGAAGAGTTGCATTTAATTTGAAACCATAAAGGAGCATAAACCTTGACAATAAATTTGGACAGTTCCTTTAATTGTAATGTTGGATTTTCGGTACTAACATAAAGACGTAAGGTGCGATTAGCCAAAGTGAGCCATCGAGAATGACTTAACTTTCCTGGGCTTCGGTTTAATAAATCTACGGAGCACTCACTTGTAGAAACCGCAACACAAATTTCGTACAGATATTTCTTCATTCAAGAAAATCCACGTCTGGTAAATCACAGTCAATAATGGTACAGTTCACAACTGGCATATTTTCGCACTGTTGTATTTGATTTCCTATAATTCCTGCAAAAGCTCTTGGACCTAGGGTTTGACCGTCAAGCTTTTGAAAAAAATGCCTAAGATGTAACTTAGCGTGAAGCTTGCAGACCAATCTTTGTAAAGGGCGTCCTAATTTTAATTCTAATTGATAAATTGCACCGTTTTTTTCACCACGGTTCCCTCACATCCTAGTTTGACTTTAGAAAATTATTAGAAAATGCTTAGAGCCGATCCAGAACTGGGAACTGTGTGAACTAAAGAAATATGTTCTTCAAGTACAGTTCTTCTGTGGGACTTGCCTTCAATATTTTCAATAACATAGGTTTTATCTTTCCTTCCGTCAAAATAAACGGCCTTCAAAGCTCCCGAGGAGTTTTGCTTAAAACTGTTTCTTGTTTGCTCTCTTGCTCTTCTCAGCTTACAACGATCTATAACGTTTTCTTTATCCTATTTGGTGACAATTCCAAGGTCGTGTAGCACTGCCGTTGCCACTGCTGCTGCAGAACTATCTGATAGTCCAGCGGTCACAAACTTTAGCCAGGGTAGGAAGTTTGACAAAAATTTTTGTACACTGGATTTTTCTCTTGATACTGTCATAGAAAGTGGAAAGCAATTCATGATCAATTTCTACACTCAGAAAAAAAATGCATTGTAAAATGCACAATAAATCACGTTAAAATAATTAACTCGTTCTATGGAATTCGATTTACCTAATTATTTGTTTCATAAACGATTGCTGATAATATAATATTGTTTTATATACATAATAAAAATTAAAGCATTCGAAATAAAGTGAATACTGTTTTATCGGATATCTAATATTTAGTTTAGTTTAGTTTAATAAAATTGTTAAAAAGGTGGAAGTTACTACAGCTCGTACCAATATAAAAGGTAAAAAAATATATTGATGAACTTTAGAATGTACAGGGTAAGTCAACGATAGAGTAAGGTCATTATCTCCTTTGTTCTGAGATTTACAAAAAATGTTAAATATAAAAGTTATAGGGAGGGTTAAGATACACATTTTAAAATTATTGTAGAATATACAGAGTGCTTCAAAAAAGTGTTGCGGATATAACATATTTTTTTAAATGCAACACCCTACTTTTTATTTTATTTTTTAAATTCTACGTAAAATTCTACAACTTTTTTATCTAATAATATTTTTTTGTTATAATATACAGGGTCCGCAAGTAGTGCGTTGGGCCATCTGTAATAGAATAATAAACTTCACAATTTTGTTTAAGTGCAAACCTAAAGTATATACTAGGATGTATTTCAGGAAAATATTTCAACTTTTATAGAGTGGTTCAAAAATGTGATCGGTATGTTTTTTTTTAAAATGGAAGACCCTGTATATCATTGCATTTTTGGCTTTCTTTTGGACCACTTTACATAATATATTATATATGAGTAAATATATTTCGATAATATCAGAGATATTAATAAATAAATAAAAAATATATTTTTTCCAATCTTCCTTATTTTTTTTTACTTTATGAAGCACCCAGTATATTCTACAATAATTTAAAACGTGTATCTTAACATACTCTAATTAACCCTATAACTTTATATATACTTAACAAACCCTATAACTTTTGTATTTAACATTTATTTGTAAACCTCCAAACAATTATTGAGATAATGGACTTTACTCTATCGTTAACTCATCCTGTACAGAACAGAAATTTGTACAGGGTGGAAATACAGAACAGAAATTTGTACAGGAGGTTCGAATCGCACCAAGATTTAATGGTAATTAAGTCATTTGATATAATCCTATGAAGTGCCGTGTTGCTCCAAGTGAAGCTAGTGTCGTCCGCAAAAAGACATATTTTGCCACTGATGTTTATGTTAGCAATGTCGTTAATAAAAAGAAGAAACAAAATAGGGCCTAGTACTGAGCCTTGTGGTACTCCACATTCTATTGGCTTGCTAGAAGACAACGTGGTATCCACCCTCACAAGTTGACTTCTGTTGCTCAGATACCACTTAAACCATTCGAGAGATGATCCCCTGAACCCATAGTGCTGCAGTTTATTAATTAGGATCTTATGATTTACACAATCGAACGCCTTAGAAAAATCACAGAAAATTGTTGTAGAATGATGGTTGTTTAGGCTAGAGTAAACTTTATTAAGGAGGGAAAACATAGCATCATTTGTGGACTTGTTGCTTAGAAATCCAAATTGATATTCAGTAAGTATTTTGTACTTAAACAGAAAAGATACCAGCCTTCTTTTAACCAACCTTTCTATGATCTTAGATAGCGTTGGAAGAAGTGCAATTGGGCGATAGTTAGAAGCTTCATCTTTGTCTCCTCCTTTATGCAGAGGAATGATTATTGCCGTCTTAAGATATTTTGGAAAAATGCCATTTTGGAACGACATGTTTATTAAAGTTGTTAGGTGATTCAGAGTGCTTTCTGGCAGATTCGAAAACATTTTTAAAGTTAGCCCGTCGGTCCCAGAAGAGGATTTATTTTTTGATGGTATTAATTGTACTGCGAAGCTCTTCTAAAACTACGGGGAAAAAAAGAAACTGTGTAAGTTTACATTATCATTAGAGAAATAAGAAAGTGGATCATAAGGAGGACATATGATATTATTTAAGTTTTTCGCTACATTTACAAAGTAATCGTTAAGGTTCTCAGGTGAGGTAGTGATATTGCTAGACGAAGAAGCTTTGTTTCTCAATTCATTCACAATATACCATGTTTCTTTAGCAACATTACCAGAATTGACTATTCTCCTATTATAATAAAGGTCCTTAGCGGCTCTTATAGTCTTATGATAAATTTTTCTGTATAGTTTTACGTAATTGTGGAAGAAGAGACTGCCTGAGAATTTTTTTAAGTGAGATAATGAACGCATGTTTTTAGAAGGGTGGGTCGGGGTGGTTTGAAAAATACTCCATTTGCCTCATTCAGCTGGGTCCCAATTTGTAACTTATGCTGAAAAGATCACTTTTTTCGTTAATGTCCACCTAATTTTTCGTGTAGGGTGTAGTTTTTCAAGTTTACCCTAAAAACTTTATGATCATCGTTTAGCATTTTTCATTGGCTTTCCAAAAAGGCGCCACAAGTGGGGTGTTGCTATTTAAGATTTTCAAGTGAGTAGGGGTGCCGCCTAAGGGGTAGGTCGGGGTGGTTCATAAAATACGTCATATGTATTCCCCCTCGATATTATAGAAACGGTATTTTTTATTTTTTTGATATCTTTTTTGGTTTAAAAATTATAGCCATTGTAAGTTTTCAGTGGCCCACCCTGTATTATGTAGCAAACTAAACATTATGTCCCCGGATTGTCTTTACAAGAGGAGGAAAAACTTTTTAATATTGACTTTTTGAGAAAAATGCATTCTTCTTAAAAACCTTTGCCTGTTCTAAAATGGTTAATCTCGTTTATACTTTTCCAAATTTCCATACCGTTTTAAAGAAAATTTAAAATAAAATATGAAACTATTGTTGGAGTCCTAAAAATCAAAAGGCCTTTCTATGGTAAGTATGGTAATTCTGGCACTTGGACATAAAAATGTTACGCTTTCAAAGCGGTAAGCGAAAGTATTCGATAATACCTGGTTAGACAGAAGTTTTGTGAATGCGAAGCAGTCGATTTTGGTATTCTCATTGCAGTACGAAGCGTTTTCTGGATACGCGATGAGCACATATTAGCAGCATCGCAATCGTTATCTGCTAATCACTGTTTTCATCATTCCGGATGTTGCTAGATTAAGCAGCAGTTGGTTAAAACGAGTTTTAATCATCTGCTGATGATGCTAGAATGGTTAGCGAAACGCGCATCCAGTGTAAAAGTAATGCCCGGACCCCATTAGCCAACACGCTACGCCACGCGATGCCATGCTACCCACATCGTGAAGATCAGTGCGTATGTTTTTCCATTTAATTACATATATTGCGTACACACTAGGAACACGCCACGCTACCCGACGCTATAACACGTGTGATGGTCGATTCGTCGGTCCCAGATCTCACCGATGTGTGTTACGGCGTGTTGTTCCCGGCTTGCCTCTCTAGTCCCCTTGTTCCAATACGTTTTCTAAATCTAGTGTCCATTCTCTGTCCATACAAAAGTACATATGGTACCGATTAGGATCTGCCTCGATTTCTCTAATTAGCGTATGAAAGGCACCATATTTATTGCGTTTTTTGTTTATTTTGTGTACCCAAAATCCTCTTTTGTTTACACTTTCTAATACAATAGCGGTACACTTCACTAAAAATTCTTCGTCACTGAAAGAACTGCTTGAATCAATCGTTACTTTTCTAAAGGTTATTTTCGAATGCAATAGAAAACAAAAATGTTTTTTGAGTGTTCAATCAGTAAGAATACAAATTCTATTAATAATTTTAAAATCTAATAATCAAAAATTAAGGAAAGAAGGTTAATGGAGATTGTGAAGTTAAGGTGTGTATTATGATTATAATCTAATATCGGTATGGGCATCGATACTTCTAGTATTTTCGTATCCCTACTGACAACTTTTTAACTCTAATAAAAAATATCAGGCGTGTTAACACGTGTTACCTAATGTGTACACCCATTCCCACGTCACAACACGTGGGATAGCGTGGCATCGCGTGGCATCACGTCGGGTGTTGGCTAATGGGGTTCCGGCTTAAAAGTGTTTTGTTGTATTATTGTGGTGATTTAGTGTTTTATTTTGTTTATACTACTAGCGAACTTCTCTGGTAATAAATAAATGTATTTATATATAAATATTAAATAATTAATATGACAAATTAAAATAAGATATCGTATATAGAAAATAAAATAGAAAACTAACAAAATATATGACTATTAATACAAAAAAATATTTAAGTTTCCAATAACACTTTAATATTTTGTTAAATATTGACAGAAACGAAACCCAAAAGAATTATTTTTTGTTATAAAAATAGTAAAAAAATTATGATCTTAAAAAATTAAATTATTTTAGAAGTAATTCAATATTACTTTTTCATTCATATTTTAGTATTATTTCGATAATTAAATATTCTAACAATTAAAAATGAACAAGAAGTATTTATTTTTGTTTATTTTTTTTCGAATAATTATTTTTTATAATCAGTTGAACGTTTTGATTAGGTTAAAAAAACTACTTACACAATTAATAATTTACTACGGGAAAATTAATTTAAAATCTATGAAATAGAAAATATTAAGAAAGCTAGCTAACAAAAATACATCTAAATAATATGTTTGATTTTAATACATATAAACAGAGTGTGTCTTAAATAAGTAAAATATTTTCAGGGCTGGTAGATCTCGATAAAAGAAATATAATTTTCTCTTTACCGTTTTTCAAATCCAAAATAACTGAGTTATTTTATTTTGAAGATTTCCAAAAAAAAAATATTTTTTGCTTAAATTTTTAGAACCACTGGATTTTTTCTGGATGTTCTTTCTTGTACATTTACTATTTACTACCTATGTTGCCATATTATCAAGAAATTATGTTTTTAATTAAAAACTAAAAAAAATCCAAAGTTTCAAAAAAAAATCGCGAAAGAAAACGAATATCTACATCTAAAAATATTTGCACTTATTTAAGACTCACTCTGTATATATATTCAAACCAGGTAAATCGTACCTTTATAATATGCACTTATAGGCCCGTTTTTTATCTTGTCCATTTTGACGGCAGGTTTATTTACGAATATAGTTTGAAATGATCTGTTTAACGTACTTGAATATACAAATGTAAATGGGTGCCAATAGATTGTAAATCACGACATAAATTAGTTCGGAGGATGTACTAATAAAACCCGTCTATTTCCAATGCACCTGAATAAATAAATTATTTTAACCTCTGTAGTTTACAAATGTATGTTAAAAAAAGCAAAATGAATAATTAATTTTCTAAACTAGTACTTTGAAATATTCAGTCTATTTCATGCATATGTGAAGATTTTTTTATAGATGTATCAAATAATCCAAGTATTTTTTAATGCAATTATTGAACTTTTAAATATTCATATAGAAAAAAAATATATCCATTATTGTGAATACGTTTATAGGTTTGTTCAACTATTTTTTTGCTCAATTTTTTTAATATACATTTCGTTGTTAAAGAACCATAACTAAAGTCGAATGGTTAGTACTTACTTTTAACGAAGGACTAAAATTGTCTGGCTACAAAGCAGGAACTACACTATCTTTTACTTCAATTTTTAAGGAAGCAAATAATGTTTGATTTAATTAAAAGTAAAAGAAGAAGAAGAAGAAGAATTTTATATAAGCCGCATCAGCTGCTGGGCCATTTACTGGCAAATAAACAAAAACGGCAAGCAGCATACTTAAAAATCCAAGAAGTGATGGCAATAGAAGGTTTCGGCCAAATTTTTTTTCGATTCATAGCACTATTTTCAATAGAAAATACAAAATGTTTGCCTATTTTTTATAAAAAACGGACTCAGGTTAATAATTTTTAGCAGCGACAATCGACTTGTACTAAATAACTCGTCTAAATAAATGGCTAAATGTAGACGCTGTTTTTACTCGACTTGATTAAATAAACTCTACTAATTTACTTGACCCGTGTGAACAGAAAATACACTTGACTAAATTACTTTACTCTACTAAACTACTGGCTGCGTCTGAACCAGCCATAATAGCTCCAAAAGCCTAAAAGGCTCATGGCTTGATTGGTTATCTTTCTCAATTTGTTTCTGTCTTTCGCCTTTATTCTCCACCCATCCACTCTTATCCTTCTCAAGTCCTCGTCTACATCCTTTTCCCATCTGATACTCGGTCTACCCCTCCTTCTCTTTCCACCTATTTCACGTTTCATTATCACACTAGGAATTCTTGCTTCAGCCATTCTTTCAATGTGCCCCAGCCATCGCAGTCCTTGTGCTCTTGCTACTCCCGTTATACTAGGTGTCCGATATAGTTGCTTTAATTAAAATGATTACTTATATTAATTTTAGTTTATTTTTATTTACTATCTTTTGCTTTAATTTTTAAGGAAGCAAATCGCGGGTAATCTGGCAAATGTTCCTATCTCCTGAAACAATAACCTTACAGGAGGCAATAAAAATGGTATTTTCAAAAACGGAACGACTTAGAAGCCTGGGCTATTGAAAATATATTATAATGTATGTTTTCTATTAAATACTATTTATTTGGAAGCAATTTATCTGTAATAGTATAATAATAGCTCCCGTATATAGCGTTTAACGCCTTGGGAGTAGCAAGGTACAGCTTGCCATACTAGAGCCGTTCGGTATGCAAGGAATGTAATGTCGCTAGCACTACGCTTCAACCGCCTATTATTACCTCAGGATTGTGAATCCCAAGTACTCATTTAAGGCTGAGTCGACCTAGGTGCCCAAACTATTTTTATTTTAATAAAAATAGTCGGCTGATTCAATGCCGGGTGTGGGAATCGAACCCACTACCTTGAGATTGGTAGACGAGAGCCTGTACCTCTACGCCACCGGCCACCTAATTTATCTGTAACTTGTTTAATTAAATCAGACAGGATTTTTTGCTTTTGATAAAATGGCACATAAGATTATTTGTATTTTAGGATTATAAAGGATAGGACGTTTTGCTTGTGGTAAAAGTAAGATAATATAATTTGCTTTCATAATATCACTACTTTCATTGCTTCTTAATATCACCTGATTATAGATAGGAGCTTTTGCTTTTTAATCAAAATAAGTAGATAGGAGTTTGTGTGATCAGAATAACAGGTGGTTTCAGATAGGAGGTTTTCTTTCTTTTAAATTGTGCCGTAATTTTTTTTATTTTCAGAGTTTACCTTTTGTTTACGTGCTTAATGACTCATAGACCGTTATGCTAAAATAATCTCAATTTTGAAAAAAATGGCAGATAGGAGCATTTGCCAGATCACCGGCGAAATAATGTCTTATGCAATTAAAAGTATAGGTCATAAATACAGATACAGTAATCACATCACTAAATTGCTATTCGTTAAGTGTATCAAAATTGTTTGTTTTTAATAATTATTGAGGTTCAACTTTGTATAAAATATGACATATGACTTGAAATTTCAAAATATACATTTTTATTGTTATCGACTAAAAAATTATTAAAATATAATTAGATTGAAATATAGAGACATTATACACAGTAAGTGTCCTTATAAATGTCTAAGGAGAATTATTTACGAGCAAAATCAATAATTGATAAAAAAATTATTCTATGCTGCGGTCTGTATCTGTGCCTCTATTTCTTAGTGAAATTTATAAGAAGTAATAAGTAGTAAATAATTCATAAATCGATTAACATAATATAAATATAACTGAAACTATCGAAATTTGTACAGAAAAATTCGAATGAAATACTCCGATTTTTTTTTCGGATAAGATTATCCTTAATAATCCAGAAAAAAAATGGTAATAGTAAAATTGTTGAATGCGCACTGCATTCACCAACTAGTAGAATTTTACCAATTCTCTCTGATGTAGGATAAGTTTCTATTTTCCGCAAATTTCTGAGATTTTGTTTTGTTTTAACTGATATAAAATGATAAGTAGTTGTTAAAGTTGGACTAATTAGACAGCTATGTTAAAATAACGTCAGACATATCTCAGCCACCTAGATTTTATCAAATAATAAAAATCTACATAAAACACTAAATCATAAAAATGAAAATATCTAAGAAATCTTTGTTTGAGGACTAGGCAACATTAATTGTATTTTGAATGGACATGAATTCCTCATTGAGTATCGAAATAATATTCTGCGTGTTTCATTTAAAATAAAAGAGTAACTTGCTTTAAAGGTAACTAATGTTCAATATTAGTTTTGTCTCACCTTGTATAACTTTTTGGGTCAAGTTTTATTTTGATTTAATATACAATAGTTATTTTAACTGCATATTAGGCTATACCGGGTAAATTCCAATTTAGGTAGCTTTTATTGAAATTTAATAATTGTTCTTTATTTTTAGAAAATGTTAAATATGTCAATAAACCTTACATTCTAATCATATACTTCTCTAATAAAGCTCACCTTTATTTTTCTCATAGAATCCGAAAATGAATTAATATATAGAGTGTTCGATTACAAAAAACAGAACTTTGATATGTAACTTTTTTTGGGGACACCTTGTAGAACTCCCTATATATGCTCCAAAAATTTCATTTCAGTACAAACTGTTGTTTTCCTTGGAGTCTCCGCGTCGTATGAGAGGCGCCAACCTGTACATTATTTCTTTGCAAAATATAATAAACTACTTTGAAATTAAAATGAAGCACACATCTATCGCTGTTAAAGACAGTCAAGGATTTTGTCGTTGGACAGACTATACGGAGTTCTAGAGACTGTATTGAAAATGTAGGACTTAATTCATTCAAAACTAGACCAAATTTATAGAGGCAAGTTATAGAATTGGCAAAAAACTAAAATTATCTCTCCAAAAAAATCCTTTATGGGTATTTCGCCACTGCACTGCAAGAAAATCTACAAAATAAAATAGATATTTTTTGTAAACATTTCTGCGTTAAACCTAAACGGACACTGCTTGTCAGAAGTTATGTTTACAGTTATACAAATTTGCCTAACAAAGAACGTTCGGAAAGTCTATCTCTTTCCGTCGTCGGAAGCAAAAAATACAAAGAATATAGAAAAAAAAAACTATTTAAAATGTTTAAATTCAAACTATTATGAGAACACTTTAGTTTTTTTTTTAAACAGATACGTCTACAAGAAACTGTTGACGTTCTGTTAAAATGACATTATATCAAGTTAAACTTCAAAATTAACAATTACAACCTGATAACAATTACTTAATAAGGTAAAACCAAAAAGCCCAAAACTTTCTGTATGATTATTTCCCTCATCGTGAATAAGGGGTGAAAACCCCTTATTCGATATTATTTTGAACAAATAAGTGGAAGAAAATATGTCAGAATTTGATATGTTGACATGCGAAACGGTCCTCGATGCATTGTTGGGATGAGTAACCAAGGTAGCAGAAGCACAAACATTACCTATGAACATTACTTACGCGACGTCATTTTGAAACGTCTTTAAATTTTATTTTAAATTTAGAATTTGTTATTTGTAAAAAAAATGTTGTCCGAAAATGTTAAATTTTATAGTTAATAAAATTCTTATAGTTATTTATTTCATCTTAAGTCATTCAGGAAATAATCTAGCCGTATATCACTCAACCTATAAATTTAATTGATTAAACTACCCAAATAATTTTTTGCATGATTTTGCTTTTTAGAAAATCACGCGCAAAATATAATTGAATAGTATAATCGATTAAATTTATAGGTCTCGTGATATAATATATGATTATTTTTAAATTTTACGAATGTTATGTTTATTTATGTTATGTTCTTTAAAATCAAAGAAGCGATTGTCATACATTACTAAAATCTACAGATGCATGAGCAATACATTTATTTTTATTAGATTGTATTAAAAAGCCTCTTTTATTTTTCTTTTAGAGGCTATCGCTTCTTTCATTATAATATTTTTTGATAACGCCAAAATTAGAGATATATAGGTATAGACATTTTTTAACTAAAATTATCTTGTACATTCCTGCAATTCATATTATTATAAGAAAATCACGATCCAATGATTCCATACCTAGTTAAATATTATAATATAATCTGGCTTATCAATATCTGCGATTCATGACCTAATTCGATAACTGTTTAAAGTTTTCTCTAAACATATATTTAAATTGGAGTATAAAAATACGTACTGCATTTATACTCAATATAGTCTTTTATCAAAATTTGTTGCGCGACGACAGTGCAATGTTGGGGTCATATCTGGATGTGACAAAGCCCCTCGTTTTCTTTGTTGCTTTTTTCATTACAGAAGGATTTGGAGAATGGTGCGAATTAACGATTGAATGTCGTGGTACGTATGTTACATTTATTTATTATATTTGTTAGATTTCTTAAAATGCATATTAAATAGTTAGCAATTAATCAAAATTATTATTTGTGTAATCGGGAGATTAATATATTTAACAGAAATTGATATTTTAAAATGTAATTCTAACTAGCTTGACAAACAATGTCTTCTCTCGGCCGAAATCAACAATCTCTGACATTCAACTGTTTCCAAAGCCTACTACTCCGCTACTCGCAAACATCAGCGGACACGGGGTGCAGGCACGGCGTGAAAATGACTGCCTATCATAAGGATCATAGGCATCGATAACATTCGGCCATTCCTGACTTATGAGTGTCCTCACTCCTCTGAATCACACTAAAAAGGGCAAAAATAATCAGAACCTTTTAAATTGCATTTTTAAAAGCTGAAATAAAAATATTTATTAGCTTGTTTCCTGCTGATACTGGACAATTGATACAAAACCAATTGACAAAACCTTATCAGCTAATTGCTACTATTCTTACATCACACTAAAAGGACAAAAATAATCAGAATCGTTTAAAGGACATTTTTAAATGCTGAAATAAAAATATATGTTAGATTGTTTGCTGCTGATACTAGACAATTGATACAAAACCAATTGACTAAACCTTATCAGCTAATTGTTACCATTATCTCAACACTAAAAGGAGAAACATTATCAGAATCATTTAAAGGACATTTTTAAAAGCTGAAATAAAAATATAGTTAGATTGTTCACTGCTCATACTGGAGCTACGTCTTATTTGCTACTTAAATAAATAAAAATAAAATATCGTAACTCACTCAGAAACAATACCCAAAAACTCATGATGGACAAATAAATTATTCAGGGACAAAAAACAATTTCAAAAGGTAAAATAAACGAATTACTTATTATATATTGGTGTTACACGCAATCTGCAGCTTGCGTGCAACAAAATAATGTTAAATCTCAACTCTAAAATCTTAAACCTAAATTCTAAAATATAAATCTAAATTGTAAATTCTAAATCTAACTATGGGCCCACGCCTATTCCAGCCACTGGAAAAGAGAGCAATCCCGGTCGAACTAACCAGACCGAATACCGGGACTCATCCCTATTCGCAAGTCATGTCCGCCCTCCTCACAAAGCGCCCAGGTGGTAAACTCATACCTTAGCAACCACCTCACGCCTTTTCCAGCTATCATACTAACGTATACCTTGAAAAAAAGAGTACCGGGTAGAACTAACCCTACTCCTTTTTCCAATCCTAATTCCCGTTTGAATCTACCATAACCAAATCCATAGCTTGCCAAACCTAGCTATTCCATGGTACTTTGTTCTTTGACCGTGCATACCATCCTAGGATGTTTCTAACTTCATATCAACCAATCCTCAGCTACTTAGAAGTTCAAATGAACCTGTCTACCATGGAGTTGATTGGGATCCTATTAGCTGTGTCGAAGTGATCCTTAGTAGATCTAACGCTGAATATAGTTCGCTACGCATCCAATTTTTCTTTTATTCCGCTTGATATTTCGCATAATTCGCTACTAATTTACGCCGAAAATCGCTAACGCCGACTTTATCATTTACGCCCGGAGGGATAAACGCAACTTGTCCAGATACGCTCATTTTACTCCTAGTGCTTAGTTCCACGCAATCCAAACTGAATGTTTGAAACATTTTCAACCTAGATATCGTAATGCAACTTGTTACACTTACTAGAGATTATGCCTCTCTATCTACTTCTCCCATTCCACGTGGATGTCCAACAGTATTCAGGTAGTGAGATATGGCTAGTTTATATTGAAAGTACTCGTTTTTTTTTAGGTAAAAGGGTATCCCTAAATGATTACTTTATTCGGGGTTGTAAAACTCATATATTTACGCATAAAGATTTAAGTACATACCTAGGTAGCTTAGTTTATGTATTTTGAATTAAAATAATATTACCGCTTTATTTATTTTTGTTTACGCATAATATGAAAAGTGTATGCATTTTATATAAGATAATCGGATTTGCTAGTTAGTAGTATAGTATATTACATTATACATTTTTGTTAACAACATTTAAACATGTTTTTACCTACTTTTAATGCTGAAAAATACGTAAATTTACGTTTTAGTAATTAATGTTTTTTTTTTGTATTATATTTAGACTTACTGTTTGAACAGTCCTAATATAATGTTGCTAATATTTCTATTGCCGAAAGAATATAGTATTTCCGACAATATTTATTTTATGTCGTGCTGCTTTAGTAGTTTGTTTTCAAAATATCTATAGCGTGTTGTGAAAATTACTATATATTAGTACTCTGGCGCCTAGAATCTTACCCATCTGGACATGTACATGTATTTCTAATTAAAAGAAATTACACTTTTATTAAAAAGTAGCCCTGTATACTTTAATAAACACATCGTTCTCATCTTCTATCTTCTAACAATTTTACACAACTATTTTAACATTCACAATGTGTCAATATATTACCCACACTACTCGAAGGGTTATTTGCTCTTAAATATGGCGTATACAAAGAATAAAGTTCTTGAAATACTAGTGAAATACCTGAATTAAACTGAAAAACTCTGAAATATAATGAGGTGGTTAAAATTATATTATAATAATTGAAAAACTAATGTAATACTTACTAATTATGTGAAATTTTGATATAATTCTCAAGTGAATTTGCAAAACCTACAGTTCGGAACCTACTTAACTTTTCTACAACCCTGTATTTATTCAACTACATAAATATGTAGAAAACAAAATAACTTTCTTAAAGACTGCGTTAAAAACAGCATCTTAAAATAAATTTTCATGTATACTAGAAGGATTATGAGGTGCCTATAATAAATTAATATTTCTTAATAAACGTTTGATTTCATAAATGTTCAACTTTAAATTTTACATATCTACTATTTCTCTCTTGTATTTCTAATCACTAAAGATAATTACCAAGTACATTCATGTAACACCTAGTATATTTCTGATATAGCAATACTAGACTACCTAAAGTTGAAAGTTTCAGTAAATTAAAAATATAGCTGAAATATTAATAACATCTATAACTAAACTTAAAGTAATAAAATAAGTAATAAGTAAAATGGGGTATAATTAAAAATGTATATATGAAAAATATAAATTATATATTTATGAAACAATCTATGGTCGGTATTTCTGAAAAACTGAAAAACTTTTGAAGACTTTTTTTTATCTTTCCACATAAAATGTCTTGAATATACCTGTATATACTTGATATATTTTTTTATTACATAATAAACAATGAAATTATTAAATTACTGTTCGACTTTTGTTTAATATTTTTAATTAAAAAGCTCAACAAAATATTTCAAAGCACAATAAAAATGATGTTTGAAAACCACCGTTCCACGTTTCGGCTTGATCAAGAAGTTTAATGAGAATAAAATAACACATATTCAACATAACTAATATACTAAATAACACATAACTCTAGAAATTTTATTCCTCAGGAGGACCATAGATAGATATTTATTTAACTTTTAATTTTAACAATAAAATTTTAGTTTTTACGTGAAAAACTGTCTGTTTATGCCGAGGTTCGCAGCCATCTTCTTTCGCAAGCGAAATCGACCCTTATCAACCGACTACGGTAGCGCCCTCTCTTCGAGACCTCTTGAACCACGAGGCGATTCATATCACCGAAATTCGAAATCGAAAAATCCGAACAATTACGTTAAACTTCTTTAAACTCAAATCTGTCTCCATGACAACAATTTTTACTGTATAAAAATACTACCTTAGAATTTTAATTACCTTAGAATTTATCTCGATTTTTTTTGTAGTCATTTTTAAAATACCTTTCAGAAGAGATTTGTTCAGATAATGTGTTGGCTCACTACCTTTTCCTGTTATTCTTCTGGAGTCTGTAACTCGTAGGGGTGATATGACGCTTCTTTTCAGCACTGCTTTTTTTTCGCTATTACCTTCGAGCACTAGAGCTAGCAGAATGATCCCTCCGGTTTTCTTTTCGCGCTTCGCCGATTCGACGACGGTATCCGAAATCCGACGTCTACGGGTACCCGTATCTGAGACGATCGATCACCGAATCGATCCTCGAAACCGATGCATTTACGAAACGATATGGTCAAAGGTCAAAGTCAAGTCAATAGTCGTCAGTAAGTCAGAAATACGCCGTTACGGCCTAAGAACGCTGGATTAAACTCATCGTCACTTCTGATGTAATCGGGAGATTAATATATTTAACAGAAATTGATATTTTAAAATGTAATTCTAACTAGCTTGACAAACATTGTCTTCTCTCGGCCGAAATCAACAATCTCTGACATTCAACTGTTTCCAAAGCCTACTACTCCGCTACTCGCAAACATCAGCGGACACAGGGTGCAGGCACGGCGTGAAAATGACTGCCTATCATAAGGATCATAGGCGTCGATAACATTTGTTAACAGGTTTTAAAAATATTTTTAAAATTCATGATTATTTAATATATTCTGTCTAGCGAAATAATACATGACAGACATTATCTCTGGTTTTAATTAAAAAGTAGATTGTTTTTGTTATATTCTGGATGTCCGTTTATCGAAATCCTATTCTATAGCAAACGAGAGTATACAGGGTGGTGACAATTTTGATGCTCAACATTCTTGATTAGTATCTTGATTAATTTCCGATTTATGCCAAAAAAATTAAAATAATGGATTATTTATTTTAAATTACAATATCTTTAGAATTATTGTATGTACTGCAATGTAAGTTTATATATTTTTTTTTATTTTATATCCCTGTTTTAGGGTAATATTATTGCGTTACTGACTACTTTAAAAAAACCTTTTACATAACTAGGTACTATATCCCAGTAATACAGCGAATTTTCTTAAAATGTTATCAAATGAAAGACATATTAATTAGCGTTAGATAGAAGCATATTGAACTAAAAATACCCAAATTACTCTATAATGGCTTTATCAAAGAGTTTAATTTAATAATAACAAAAGGGTTTTAAGTGGCTTCAT